TTTTTTTTTTTTTTTTTCGTTTTTGGTTACGGTTATAGATGAGCTTGTGCAGTCAAGTATTGTGAGGTATGGTTCCTTGGTAATATGTTAACTGCATCGGGAATGCATCTCTTATAATTATGTTGGAGCACTGTGGATATTTTCAAATGTCCATTTTGTCTAGTTTAATAACTTGGATGTTTGGTATACTTTTTATCAGTAGACAGTTCAAAATAAAGTAATTGGTTTTCGTGAGTTAGTGGGAACCGTTCGTTTCGGGTATGTTTTGGTGCATTTCAGTCATGTTTTCAGATAAACGATGGTTGTTTTTGTTATTTACTTATCATATATTTTTTAATAACCAAAGGTTCATAATTTTTAATTTTGTTTGTTGTGTCATATTTGGATGTTTATGTTTAGCTCGCTGCACATTCGAATCCACAGAAGCGACCAGTTTCAGACGATTCTTCGAATTGTACGTGTCGAGATGTTCAGTTGTTTTGATATTCGTAATTTGACGCTATATATGAGTTTGCTATATTACGATGCTTCTTTTGCAGATATCTTGATTTTGAACATTTTTTAAATTGAGTACATGATTCATTTTGATTCATTAAAGCGATTTTATATTGTTCGTGATAATGCTTCGGGGCGAGTAATCTATCTTTCCCAGCGTTCGTGATCATTACTTTTTATTGATTAGACATTTTTCTTGAATAATTTGTTTTTACCGTGGAATAATTTTAGTAATGCGTACATTTATTTACATGTTAGGTTTTCCTTTTGATAATTAACCCCAGTTTTTTTTTTATCCGACATAGAGATTTAGTCTTTTTTAATCAAGTGGTTTTTAAGTGTATCCGGCCAAAAGGGTTAATACGGTCGGAGGAAACGGGATGGACATGGCAGGCAGCATGCAGATCTCCACACTTGGAGCAGCAGGGCATATTGGAATTGGAGGCAACACCATACCGCCTGCTGGACCGGGAGAGGTTGTTGCGGAAACGATGGAGGTCCCTGATCATTGTGTCGGATTGGGTAATTTTGATAAAGATTTGGGCATCTAGTTTTTTGCTCTTAGTAAAGTATACGTAGTTTATCTCTTTGATGGTATTTTTCAGTAATTGGCCGAGGTGGTGAGCAAATCTCCCAAATCCAGTCTCAAACAAATTGTCGCGTTCAAATGTCTGGTGAATCTGATTCAAATAGGATGCGGCAGTGTACTTTACAGGGCAGTAAAGCAGCAGTGGACAAAGCTAGATCTTTAATTAATGATGTAAGCGATTGAATGCTCATTACTTTGTGATGTTTCGAGGGGTTGTCTCACTTTCGGTCAACTTACTGGTTTTTATACAAGTCATTTCACTTTCTTTTTAGGTGATTCAACGTGCTGGCAATCGTCCACCGCCAAACCGTCCGGGTCACACCTTTGAGGCTAATATGGGAGGTGCAAATAGGCAAATTACTTTCGAAATGTCCATCCCGGGAGCAAAGTGTGGTTTGGTTATTGGGAAAGGAGGCGAAACGATCAAAAATATACAAGTAAATTTACAGTCGCGCAATATTTATCAGTAGCTGATTTGCTGGGAAGTATTGGTAATTTGTCATTTCAAACCGAATTTTCAGGAACAAGCTGGCGTGAAGATGGTGATGATCCAGGAAAGTCAGGATAGTGGTACAATGCCTAAACCTCTCAGAATAATTGGCGAACCAGAAAAGGTCGAAAATGCCCGCCGTTTAGTGGAAGAAATTTTGCAATCTCGTGAGGATCATCCTCCTGGTGGCCAGCGCTTCGGTTTTCCTGGCGGACAGTATGGAATAGGTCAACGTTCGGTTGGCGAAGTGCGTTGCGATTATTTCTTACTTGCTTTGTTGTTCTGCATTTAACTGGCCTCAGAAGTTCTGGTTTTGCTGCGTATGATTTTGTGTTTGATTTGACATGCGTTTCAGGTAATTGTTCCGCGTGCTTCTGTTGGAATGATCATTGGGAAAGGCGGAGAAACTATAAAGCGATTAGCTGCTGAATCTGGTGCAAAAATTCAGTTCAAGCCTGATGGTAATTGATTCGCTTTCAGTTTATCTTTTTTCTTTAGTTTAACGAATGCTGTATCTTCACGGTGGTTTATAAATTGCTTTCAGAAGATCAAACGACTGCAGATCGTTGTGCCGTAATTCAAGGTACTTCAGAACAGATTGCTAAAGCTACTCACTTTATATCGGAACTCGTCCACAAGAGTGGAGCTGGTGGAGGTTCTGAAATGTTTTATATGCATGTTCCTTCGAATAAGACTGGTCTTGTTATTGGAAAGGGAGGAGAAACGATTAAACAGGTACGTCAAGTTATGTACACTTATATTGTTTTTAGGCTTTGAAATGTAATGAATATATTGGTATCGAAAGGGAACTACAGTTGCTCCTGTGACGTTTATATACGTCGCGTTCTCCACTTTCTTGAAACTTGTTTTATGGGTTTCATATTTAATAATTTTCAATTTTTTTAAGATATGTGCTGAGAGTGGAGCTCATGTGGAACTGTCTCGTGATCCTCCTCCGAATGCTTCAGAAAAAGTTTTTATCATTAAGGGGACCCCGTACCAGATACATCATGCACAGCATATTATTCGTATCAAAGTACTTTTCTTATCCTACTGTTAGTTCTACTTTTGTCTATTTAAAACATTCAAAACATTTTTTTGAGGTGGGGGACATTTCGCCAGGAACCCCAGTTCCACAATTCCACGTCCAAGGAGCTCCAGGTACTGCAGGAGATACGTATGGCGTAGGTCAAGCTGCTGGCCCAGCAGGACCTCAAGGATATGGCAATGGAACTAATCAGTTTGGGGCTGCGGGTGTCGGTGCACAACCTGCTGGACAATGGAATAACAACTTCGGTTGGTTATGGGAAAAGACAGATTTTGCTGTACAAGATTCCATGTAATGTGTGAATTTTTGTGTAGGTCACCAGCAACCTGATCCTTCGCAAGCTGCCTGGGCGCAACAGTACTATGGGCAACAAAGCCAACAACAAACTGGTTATCAGCAGCCTGGATACAGTACACAGTTTCAACAGCCAGGAGCTCAGCCACAAGCTGCACAGACTAGCGCTGCTCCTACTGTGAATCCTCAGACAGGTATCACTTGTAAGATTTTTTCCACCTGCGCGGTAATTGAGTGAAAGTAGGTTTTTTAAAGCTTAAAATTATTGCAGCTTTTAAAACGAGTGTTTGCTTTAAAGCCTCAGTCTAATAAGTGTTTGCCGTTCTAGGTCAACCGGATTACAGCGCACAGTGGGTCGAGTACTATAGGAGTATGGGTATGCATGAGCAAGCAGCACTGATTGAAAATCAATTGAAGCAAAATGCGGCTGCGGCAGCTGCAGCAGCCCAGCCTGCGGCGCAACCTGCACGCCCTGCGCAACCAGTAGGTTTAAGA